CCTATGTCCAGATTGCCTAGAGATGAAATGTTGTTAATATTGTAAATAATGATACAAAGATGCCAGTTCGTGTTTAATAAAAGGGAAGGGGCTAGAACTTAGATGTGTTGATGAGGAATGAAGTGCAGAAATACTACCTAGTGGTGGAACTGGACCAGATTCTACCTTCTAATCATGATGCTTGGTTAGAGTTGTCTGAATGCTGAAAAGAACCAGAATTTTTAAGCGGGAATTAGTATGTCTATAGGTTCTCTTTGATTGAAATTGTAGTTTATAAGTAGCATTTTATTATCGCTAAGAATATTTGACAAAGTATTGAATTTGCATAGATCAAATGCCAACTTTTGATACAATCAAAATGAAATTTTCATTTTATTATTTGTTTGAATCTTTTTTCTGTCTCCAAGTAAGTAATCCTTGACAGTGAGCACCCAATAAGAGGTAATCTGTGTATTGTGCATCTAAGAAGCCCTAAAAGAAGTGCTTGGCTTGCTATACATTTTGTATTTCTACTGATGACTTTTTCTTTAGTACTTAAGGGGAAAAAAGTCAGAATGAAGTGGTACTAAACTTTGCACTTATGCTAGAAACTTCTTTTATCTGCCCCAAACCAGATTACTCTCCTGGGTTTTTTCAGTACTTTGCAGGTACCCAGCTGAGCCTCTAGATGGTGTACTGGTAATTTAAAATGTGCAGACACATTCCTTTCAAAAGAAAGGAATTAGCCAAAAGCTGTGTCTATAAATGAGGGAACAAACATCTGAGTGGATTATTAAACCCCCAGGGGCTCCCTCATTTTGCTTCTCAGCATCCATCAGATGACACTTTACATTAGAGCCATTAATTTTCAAATTCTGCCTTCACTCTTGGCATTTCCCTCCTTACTTTTCCACCTTTCTTTTCATTAGTCAGTTACATTTGCCAGCGTCTGCTTCGCTCCCTTCTCACTCTTGCACAGTCATGTTCAGTTGTCCCTAATCACCTTCTTCCGTAATAAGTCAGAGAATTCCTTACTCAACTCAGCACAAGAGCCCTTCACCTGAGAAGCTTTTTGTTTGTGACTAGTGAGTCCCAGTCTGTAAGATGGGACTTGACCTCCCCTGGCTACGAGTGTGTTGTTAAGTGACTTCTGGATGCACACCCATGGTATTACATCTTTGCCTTCTCTTTGCCTGCTAGATTGTATTTCTAAAGGTTTATTTATTTGTGCATACAGAACTGGGGTACAGGCCAGAGGTGCAGGGGAGGTGAGAAGATTCACCAGAGACAGAGTAGGGAGCAGAACAGGCAGATCGATGAAGTACACTGCTGAGGGGAGCAGTGGGCAGGTCAGGAGAGGTCTGCCACACCATGTGGGTCACCTCCCTGGCGGGGATCGAGCTCATGCTGAAGTGGCATTAGTTTCTTAGCGCTGTGCTTTAACTTGCTGTGTCACCAGAGAGGACCCTGCCGCTAGATGTTAAACCCCCAAAAGCTTTTATCCAATTATCTAGTGTAATCACTTAACTTTCAGAACATCATGAACGATCAGTATAATGATTGTATCATTAGAATGATCTGAAGTTGAGGGCCTTCCCTGGTGGCGCAGCGGGCTAAAGCACAGCTCTAAGACACTAAAGCCACTTCTGCATGAGTTCAATCCCCACCTGCCCCAGAGGTGACCACATTGTGCGGCAGACCTCTCCTGACCCTCCCACTGCTCCCCTCAGCAGTGTACTTCGTTGATCTGCCTGTTCTGCTCCCCACTCTGTCTCTGGTGAATCATCTCCCCTCCCTGCACCTCTGGCCTGTACCCCAGTTCTGTATGCACAAATAAATAAATCATTAAAATAAAAAAAGATCTGAAGTTGAATAACTGAAAGTATCAAAATTATGCTTTTCTTCCAGTTTCAGTCCCACCTGTATCTTGGAAGGCGAACATGACTTGCGCTGTGATGCCTGTTTTCTGGGCTATGAAGGACAGTATTGTGAAAGGTGTGTAGTGAAGCTTGCATGGGGCACTTGCTACTCCTTTGATAAGAATTAGACATATTTACAAGGTGATTGAACCTCGTTATCAGTTTGGATGTGCATGATTGATTTAGGGCCTTATTACCTTTCCAAAATAAAATCTCCTTATTAAAGTAGGCAGATGGACTTCCTGTGACCACTTCATCCTCCTTTTTGGAAATAAAGTGCTGATGGAGGTGGAGGTGCCTGGGTTCTTTGCATTTCCTTTGGCAGAATGGTAACAGCCTTGGGCCCTGCTGGTGTCGACGCTGCTGTCTAACCTGCGTGTTTTTCTCCATGTAGGTGTTCCTCAGGCTATCACGGGGACCCTCGAGCACCAGGTGGCACTTGCCAGAGATGCAACTGCAGCCCAAGAGGCTCTGTTCACAGACACTGTGACCAGGGGACGGGACAGTGTGACTGCAGGCCGGGGTTCACCGGGCTCCAGTGTGAGGATTGTGAGCCAAAGCACATTCTGATGGAGAGCTATTGTGTTTGTAGGTATCCCTGCTCTAAATGTTCAAAGCGAGTTTTCCTGTGGTGTCAGAAGGATTGAGAAAGTCCTATTTTAACTCCCTATAGACTGTCATTGTATCTGCTGAATTAAACTTTTCTCTGTGTGTTTCACACAGAGGAAGAAGGTTCTAGAAGAGCAGCATCCATCTCTCTGGCAGCCAGAGCTGCGCAGTAACCCCAACTTTAGAGTTTAGTTGTACAACTATTTCCTCCAGTGGAGCCAAGGGTCCCAAGGGGGAATGCTTTGGGGATCTGCTATTATGTTATTCAGATTTCAGTGACAGTTTCAGTTCTTGGCTTTTGTGGATCCCCCCCGCCACCCCCAGTTCTGATTTATTTTAATAGCGTGCATGTGAGAAAATCATCTTAAGATACCATGGCTTATGAGAGGTTTTTGCTTTTGTCTTTGTGTTTGTTATAAGCAAAAAACACGTCTGTCATTTCCCCTCATGTCTTTCATTTGTACTTGCTGGAATATGTCCTCAAACTCTCTAGAAACATCAGATCAGGCTGAAAGAAAATGCATTTGGAAATTGTTGCCAAACATTCAAGTTAAAGATGAGCAAATGCAAAGTGAAGGTCGGAGCCAAGCCGAGCAGCGGCATGTGGCCAGCCCTGGCCCACTGTGAGGCTATTGTTCATTTCTGTGTGACCCCGTGAGGCTGCCAGTCTCAGCGGGGTCTCGGTTCACCTTCTGAGAGGAGGGACTTAATCCTCCTGCTTCTCCTCCACTACACATTGATGTGAGACTCAAAAGGGTGTGCTTCGTGGGAGCTTGATGTTCTCAGTCCATAAAAAGGCTTCACAGACCCGTGGGGGAAATGTACAGATGAGTTTGCATTAACATAAGCTCTTTTTCTCTTAGCTTGTGATGATGACTGTGTAGGTGTGCTCCTGAGTGACTTGGATCGTATTGGTGATGCCATTATTTCTGTGAACCTCGCTGGTGTTATCCCTGCCCCATATGGACTATTGTCAGAACTGGAAAATTTAACTAAATATCTCCAGGTAGGTGTTGTGACTACAGAGATGGACAGAAATGTGCACTGGAGGCAAAAGTCAGATGGGACAGTAGGAATCATTCTGTCTGTCCTCCCACCGCATTCCCAGTGGCAGCCCTGAGTAGATGTCCAGCCTTCCTTTGAACATGATAGGGACTTCATTCTCCACGGGCTAGTGTGTGTCACTGTAGGGGAGCTCTGACTGCTGTGGGCCGCTGGTTCAACCCCCACGGTTCCTCATTTGCCTTTTGGAACAAGGCAAAATCCGCTCACTTCCCTTTATGACAGAGCTATGGCGAGTTGAATAACTGTCCTCATACAAATAGAGAAAATAAATTGGACAGTGTCTTTCTTTAATGTTGGGATGACCTATTTTCTGTGAATGAATTATTCTTAACTGGAGTTGCAAGGGACAAAGGTTCCAGCTCCCTGGAAGCCTACATAAAAATCTCTGCAGGTAAAGCATAGTTTTATGTTTAGTAAACAAGATTAGGTCCCCCCAAAAGGATAAGAAGTTTAGAAATTGACTTAGTAGAATGCCTTTTACTCTAGTATTTTAAATTAGTATTCTAATTGGAAACAAGTGTGATTCTTAAGTGTTGCCTAATACATTTGAATTTGAGATAATTAACACATTGTATCATGCAGTGATAAGGACAGTCATTCCTGAATGTTTATTTCTTTAAAGTAGTTTTAGACTGAATGTCCCTTAGGTCTGTGCATTTGTGTGTGTGTTAGGGGTGGCGGGGGTGATGTATTGGACTCTGGATGTTTCAGTGGTCTACTCTTGTTAGTTGTGATCTGTAGTAACACTGGCAGTTGAGAAGGATTGGGGACTCTAAGATGTCTTATTTATTTTCATTCATTCTAAGTACAATCAATAAGTACTATTTTCTATCAGTTTGGGCCCCAGGAATATAACTCTGTATCACAGATATAAAAATTTTTAAGTGAGATGAATATTTGATGTAATTTTTAACTATTTCTGAATGACTTGCTCTCATTAAAAATTTTTGTCAATTCCTTTAAATAACATTTTACATATATAAACTATGCAGGAGGATCAGTGTTTACTCTTTACTGTTCATTATTTTTAATACTTATACAGCAACTGTGAGTAAATTACTGAATCCCCCTGATTAAAAATGGAAAAGATATGGCCACTTAGTATATTGTAAGGTTTAGATAAAATCATACAAGTAAGAAAATTAAAAGAACATTGGGGTAAATTGAGCATTTAATTGTTAATAATTATAGAGGTTTTTGTTATTTAATAAATTTACATTTTGGGCTACGAAGGATTCTTAAATAATTTTTGAAGCTGTTGGTAATTATGATTAAAACTGAGCCTCTGAAATAAAAACAGATTTATCCAAGAGTTGCAGCAGTATCAGATGCTGCTCAACACACCAGACTTTAAATTTACATCTGTGTAGGAAATATAATGCAAAGGCAGCAATATGGAAATATTTGGGTATAATCAAAATTTAAGTATTTGTGTAATTTTTAATGCAATTTTAAGGAAGGAAGTTATTTCTGTAAACAAAAGCAGTAATAATAAGCGGTCTTTAGTTCAAAACTAGAAAATTTATTGTGAAGCATTATAATTTATCTTCTTCCTGGCTTTTATTTTAGGAGTCTTTATTAAAAGAAAATACACAAAAAGAACTGGCAAAAAATCAACTTAAAGGTGTTGCAGAACAAATGGATGCTCTGGAAAAAGAGGTAAATTTTTTACACACAATGCCCACTTCCCACCCACGGCCTGTGAGCAGTTGCACTGCAGTCTTCTGAAAGGTTCTCATTCCATTAGTGCAATCTCTTCTTCCTTGCAGCTTCTTATGGCTCAATTGGTTTTAACCTTACCAGGTTCTCTACTGTAGGGACAGAGAGGAAATTTCCCCTCTGGGTTCTTCTTGGATTATTCAAGCAAACAAATTAATATCAGGTTATAGTAGAAAAAATAATCTATAGATGTAGATTATTTTTGTGGGACAAGAAGAGGTTATATCCTGAGTTAAGGGGTGGGATAGGAGCCTGGGGTCTCAAAGAATAGGAGAAGGACTTAAATGACATGAGGAAGAGAGGATGACTCATCTAACAAAACCCAGATACTCAGTGATTAGGTGTTTGTACAGCCACATAGATAGGCTTCTATGTTATAAAGATTACTTCTGGCAAAATTCCTCATCCCTGATAATATCCTAGATTTACATTCTTCTAGCTTATTAAGGGAATAGAAGTTTATCCTAAATCTTTAGGGCCTTGGTTGACCTCATCTCAAAATAACCATGTGACAAAGTGCCATGTTTTGGGAAGGGCCTTTTCTGCACATCTTCATGGTGTCATATGGAAAAGGCTCTTAGCTAATTTCTTTTTTTAAAAAAATGCATTCATTATATCATCCTTTATTTTTGTACAATGTATGCTTTCCCCGTGAAATTCCAACCACCAATTCACTTGTGCACCATCACGATAGTCTCTTGTGCTTTCCCACTCCTGTACTAGGCCTTCTCCCTCCTCTTCCCCTATAGAGTGTCACTGATCTATAGTTGCCTGATGATTTAAAATTTTACTTTATTATAGTTACTTTTATTTTTCTGATTCCTTTTTTGTTTTCTCTACATTCCTCCTACAAGTGAGATCATTCGATATTTTTTCTTTTTATTTCTGGTTTATTTCACTAAATAAACACAGTCTCTTCCAACTCCATCCATATTGCTGCGAAGGGCATGCATTTTATCCTTTTTGATTGCTGAGTAATATTCCATTGTATCACTGCTGCTTAGGGAAGAGTCCAACACTTTCCATTTGCCTCTAACTTTCATCTGTGGATCAAAAAGTGGGTGAAATTAAAAGATCACTAAGGTTTTCTCTTCTGATTTTACAGCAAAGTAGAGCATTGGTGAATGCAGGTGTTAGGCCATCTGCCGATAACAGTGTCACTGGCACAGCTCACTGGGCAGGGTGATTGCAACATGGCTCCTCATTTGTGGTCTGCAGCATTTAGGCTTCAAGTTGTGTGCATCTGATCTGTGCACTTGAAATGACAAGTGTGTTCATTTTGATGTCAGCAGGGAATTATTCTGTTTATCCATTGCCAAATGAATGGTTTTTCCATGAGCTCTAAAAGTATTCCCCTATTCACAAGTAGTAAGGGGAACCTATTATAAAACTCATACATTTTACTTACAGATTTTATGTGTGTGTTCATCTGTGTGTCTGTGTCTCTGTATATGTCTTGTGTTTGTCATGCATGTATGCTATCTCTATCAACATAGTTGATACACACACACATAGTCATGCACCCTAAAAAACTACCAGCTTGGGGCCCTCCCTGGTGGCGCAGTGGGTTAAAGTGCCTCACTAAGAATCAAAAGCTACTTCTGCATGAGTTAGATCCCCGCCTGCCCCGGAGGTGATCCACATGGTGTGGCAGACCACTTCTGACCCACCTGCTGCTCCCCTCAGCAGTATACTTCGTCAATCTGCCTGTTCTGCTCCCCATTCTGTCTCTGGTGAATCCTGTCACCACCCCTGAACCTCTGGCATTTACCCCAGTTCTGTATGCATAAGTAAATAAATAAATCTTTAAAAAAAAAAAAACTATCAGCTTGGCTTTATAGATTGAGAATTCAAGATGACTTGGGAAGAGATTAAGGGTTTGAGTGTGGGCTTTTCGTGCCTGAGTGGATAAACATTTGGCAGGAAGTGGTAAGCTAATGAAAATAAATTCTCTACATATTAAATAAGTTTTCTCTGGGTCACCTTCATTCCTAAAATTACAAACAACTTTCCTTTCACAAATTAAAATATTTTGATAAAAGTAGCAGGTGAGGGCACTCCCTGGTGGCGCAGCGGGTTAAAGCACTGCACTAAAGAAGCTTCAGGCCACTTCTGCATGAGTTCGATCCCCGCCTGCCCCGGAGGAGATCCACATGGCATGGCACACCTCTCCTGACCCGCCTGCTGCTCCCCTCAGCAATGTACCTCATCGATCTGCCTGTTCTGCTCCCCACTCTATCTCTGGTGAATCCTCTCACCCTCCGCATCTCTGGCCTGTACCCCGGTCTGTATAAATAAATAAATTAAAAAAAAAAAAAAAGTAGCAGGTGAGATCAACTGAAGTTTCTGGCCCTGGGCCACCAGCTTCTGAGACATCATCACATTTTATCCTCATAAGGGCCTCAGTAGGTAATTGATGTTAACATCCTTATGTTACTGATGAGTCTAGGAAATGTTACATCCTAGGTCTCCAGGCTGGCCACCTAAAATCCAGTTTGCTTAAATCCATGTTGTTAACTCTTAAACTCATGGTCAATGTATTTTTCAGGGCCAGTATTAAATTATTAAGAGTTACTTTCTATATTCTGTAGAAGTAGGTCCTAAGGTGAATAGGACCTAGTGGGAAGAGAGTCAGTGGGAGAGTTTTATGATAGTCAGTTCTATTGCTTTTAAAAATATAACCACTTTCTTCATGTCAGGTGAGAAGAAAATTATTTCATTAACCACTTGATTAATTTCCAACCTGAGCATGTTACCCTTCACTTATACGATAGTATATATCAGTACTCTATATTCTGGTATATATTTTGTTGCTTAAAAGAGCTAACAACTGAAATACTGAAGTTTGCATATTATTTCAAGCCCAATTAACCTGAAGCCTTTATATTGTATCAGCTCACTAGAGTGTTAACGAGTAGCCAACATGTGTCCAGGGTGACTGAGAGAATCTTCAGCAAGAGTCAAGACCTCATGAAGTTAACTGAGAAATTGCAGCTAAACATCCAAGGTAGTGTGAAGAGTCAAGTTTGGGGAGGGGCCTGGTGCATGGGGGTGGATCTGTGCTTATTGGTAGGAAAAGTTCCTATTTCCTTTTTCAAACATATGAATAGATGTATGTGTCTCACATTGGCCCTCTTGAAACCAAATAGCTCCGTTCTTTGTTAGGGAATCCTGATATGTCTGTCTTGTAGTTTTTTATTGAGTTTTATCTTTTAAAATAACTATTTCCTTTTTTTCACTTTCTGTCTCCATTCTTAAGTACTTACCTTAAAGCCTTGAATATCTCAAATAGATTCAATGCTTCCCCATCTCTTGTGAATTTGTCAGTTGAACACTATTAAGTGCAGCTCAGGGTGCCTGATGACTCCGTGACAAACCACAGCAGAAAATAAAGCTGGGAACTTCACTGGGCGTGTGCATGGGTGGAGGTTGGGGCTGTGCAAGGCAGTACAGACACAGAGAGGGAGGACCTGGCACTGACTTCAGCGACTCACTGCGTGACGTGCCTGCAGGTCCTGGGCTATAGCAGTACTGACTAATCTAAGCCAAAAATGCAGGTTCTGGGAAGCTGGAAGGGGTCTTATTGAAAGAGGCACGTAAGGGACAAGCCCAAGGAAGTAGGAGAGACTGGATCACAAGGGGTACTGGGTGGTCATATTAAAAGCTTTCACTTGCATGGGACCATGGGGCCTGCTCTCCAGGGCATGTGCTGGCATGAGGGACATTGTCAGCCATTTGACCAGAGTGGATGTTGAGGCATCAGTTCCATGGAGCAGCTGAGCTAACCTCTCAACATCATCCCTTTCCCAGAATAGACACCAGAGGAATTTGGGGCTTCAATGTGGTCCCCAAATAATGACCACAATATTAGAGTAATTTGGTCATTACTTAAGTGTGCTATCCTGTATAATCTGGTGTTTAGAATATAAAAAATACAGAATCCATACAAAGCAGGCCTTATATAGTAAAGGAAATTATTAAAACAAATAATATGTTAAAAATATCAAGTGCTGGTGGTTCATGTGCAGTAATATTTAGGTGAGCAATTTCTATGTGCAAATGAATGTCTCTACCAGGGGCAGAAAATACTAACGTAGTCTCAGCCCTCTGTTTGAGGAGTTTATGGTTGATAGGGAAGACCAACATTAAACAAACCAGTTATCCCAAGCCCATTAGCATTTTAATAGAGAATATCAAGTATACACTGAGTGCATGAGCTAATCTTCCCTGGGTAACAGCTGTCCTCATTGAAAAAAAAATTCTGAGTTTTTCCATTTAGGATTCTACACTTTGAAGAGACTTATTAAATGCTTGATGACTTTTCTTCTTAGAACTTATTGAAAAATCAACAAGTCTAGATCAATCTTTGGATGAAGAGTTCCAGCTACCCAGTTCTACTCTTCATAATATGCAAAAAAACATTACATCGCTGCTAGAAATCATACAGAAAAAGCATTTCATGCAGTTGCACCAAAATGCTGCTCTGGAACTCAGGTAAGTTCCTAAATGCCATTCTTGGAACAACCCATCAGAGGCGGGAACTTGAATGCTAAGGGGTAAGACAGCGCATGAGAGGAAGGGAACTGTCCAGGGACCAGAGGGGCCTGTTGTCAAGTACATGAAGAGATGGTCGTCACTTATTCAGATAGACGAAGGCATCAGCAATGGCAACATCTGTCTCTGCTGCTATCAGTGCCATAGGTTTCGTTTCCTCTGTGATCCTGGTTCCATTAGCGTGAACAAGAAAATCTCACACTGTCAGAGAACTACTGTTATAAAGATGAAATATAAAACAAACCCGGGCCCTCCCTGGTGGTGCAGCGGATTAAAGCACAGCACTAAGAAGCTAAAGCCACTTTAGCATGAATGCAATCCCTGCCCTGGAGGAGATCCACATGGCGTGGCAGACCTCTCCTGACCTGCCCACTGCTCCCCTCAGCAGTGTACTTTGTCGATCTGCCTGTTCTGCTCCCCACTCTGTCTCTGGTGAATCCTCTTATCACCCCTATACCTCTGGCCTGCACCCCAGTTCTATGTGCATAAATTAATAAATCTTAAAAAATAAAACACAAAAACAACAAACCCTCATGGAGGAAAATAAAATCAGTAGCTACTACCTATGTTGTCAACTCTAAGACAGATTGGCATCACTTATGCTAAATGAAAAAAGTAAGAACACAAACCCTGTATGATTTAGTTCATTTGTGGGCAATAAAGAAACAGAAACAAACCCTTAGTGCTGACACAGAACAGCGTTTCCTGGAGGAGAAGAAGGGGTTGGTATTGGGTTGGGGGTGCTGGTAAAACAGGTAGTGGGGGCCAGCCATTAGGTTGGTATAGATGATGACTCAACATTTGGAGGTGGGTGTGGTATAAGGTGCACAGCTACTGAGGCAGACTGTATGTCTGAAAACAGTGTAGTGAACCAACATTTTCTCAGTCTAAGAAAAGGTATTTAAATCAAGAAGTGTATCCTATGATGAGATAAGTTTAGGAAGTGCAGTGTCTACTAAGGAGAGATAAATTCTTTTCAACAACTCCTCAAATCTTTGAGTTGCTGAGATGCTTCTGGTTCTCAAAGAGGGGACTGGAGAGTCAGCTTACTTCACCACAGAATCCTTTTCATGTGGCTTGCTTGACAGTTTTGGGGACTCTAGAGCTGTGGGGAAATACAATTCAAGAAACAGTCCTAATTGAAGCTAATTGAGGGCTGAGACTACTTTAGCATTTTCTGCCTCTGGCATCGACTTTTATTTGCACATAGAAATTGCTCACCTAAATATTACTGCACGTGAACCACCAGCACTTGAAGTCCTAATTGAAGCCGTCTGTAGCAAGAAGCTAGTGAAGCACATTGAGGGTATTTTTTTTCTTTTTAATCTTTCTCAAGCTATTGAGAGTTATCATTTTTTAAAAAAGATTTATTTATTTATTCATACAGAACTGGGGTACAGGCGCAGGTGCAGTGAGAGGATTCACCAGAGACAGAGAGGGGAGCAGAACAGGCAGATCAATGAAGTACCCTGCTGAGGGGAGCAGTGGAAGTGTCAGGAGAGGTCTGCTGCACTATGCGGATTACCTCTAGGGCTGGGGATTGAACTCATGCTGAAGTGGCTTTAGCTTCTTAGTGCTGTGCTTTAACCTGCTGAGTCACCAGGGAGGGCCTGAGTATTATTTTATCAGCTCATTGCATAGATGAAAATTTGACCTGTTTAAAAATTTTTTAGAGATCTCTTATTTAATGAGTGATAGATTCATGCTCAGACATTTAATCTGTTACCTGTATCATGATGCAGCATCTTACTAGCATTAAAAACTGCAAACATTTTCATGCACTCCCCATGTTCTATTGATGTCGCATTTCAAATACATATCCTTAGAAAACATATTTTTAAGCCTCAGGGAAATGATGTCTGTGAAAGCTAAGGTGATTTGCAAGGTAATTTCCATGAATTTTTTTCAAAGTTCTCCTTTCCATGAATTTCTTTAAAGATTTTATTTATTTATGCATGTAGAACTGGGGTACAGGCCAGAGGTGCAGAGGTGGTGAGAGGATTCATCAGAGACAGAGTGGGGAGCAGAACAGGCAGAGTGAGGAAGTATGCTGCTGAGGGGAGCAGTGGAAGGGTCAGGAGAGGTCTGCCGTGCCATGTGGGTCACCTCCCTGGCCGGGTATTGAACTTGTACTGAAGCAGCTGCACCAGTTTCACAGTACTGTGCTTGTTAACCCATTGTGCCACCAGGGAGGGCCCTCCATGAATTTTTCACAAAGTTCTCTGGAAAAATTAAAGCAAAAAGTTAGTGGGATATGGTCAACCACTGCAAAGATTTGTAGTAGGAAGATGTTATTCATCTTTGAATCTTTAACTCCAGTGATGATTTAAATAAGGAACTTGAGAGCATAAGAGCATATTTATCAAATTATAGGGAAAAAAAAAGTCTTTTGATTCCGGAAAGCTTGTTTTTAATCAGTGGGACAACTTATATAGCTTTTTGCCTACTTGGATTTGAAAGTTTCCCAAAAAGGAACAAATTGCCAAACTAACTCTTAAGTAGCTTTATATGATGAAAGGCCCTTTCATCATATAAATACTTTGGTGATTTCACAGAAAATGACTTAAACGGTCTCCTTCTTTCATTAGTATTTTATCTTAGTATGTTAAAAAGATTGTAGTTACCATAATTCACAGATTGTAGTCCAAACTTCCTGAATCTAGATTCAACGGAGAGATTTCCTTTTAGTCCATTACCGAGATATGTTAGGACGTTTGGGAATCAAGATCATTTGTGAAAGATAAAGCTTAAATCTACCGCATTATAGCTGTCTTAGAAAAATTATTTGCCTCTTACGAGGTTATGTCTTGCCTCTAATGATTTCAAGAAGAAACCTAGATAGGGATATGTAAAATCTCCCCCCACTTTCATTCAGTGCCTGCCGTCCACTTTCTTATTATGTGACCGATCTGTTTTTTTAGTGCTGCTGAAGATTTACTGTCACAGATTCAGAAAAATTACCAGGAGCCACAGGAAGAGTTGGTAGTATTAAAAGAAGCAGCAAGCAGCCTCCTTTCAAAACACCACAAGGAACTGCAGGCAGCAAGAGACCTAGTGAGAGAAGCAGAGGCGAAGACACTGGAGAGCAGCCGCCTGCTGCTCATCGTCAGTGCCAGCCTGAGGGAATTCAGGGTGGGTCTTAACTACTCCTTTCTCCCTTCCTGGCCACCCATCCACTTTTGGAGCTGATCCTATTCATAGCGTCATTAAAAATGAGTCCTGAGTACTAACTTGGGCACTTAGCATGAGGCACTGGCATTTGAGAGGCTGACTTGCTTTTATAAAGTGTCCTTAAAGGTGATTTTTGTGACAGGATAAAAAGCTGCATGTTCAAGAAGAACAAAACTTGACTTCAACTCTTGTCACCAAAGGGAGAGCATGGTTAGAGGCTGCCACTAAAGGTGCAGACGCTACTCAAGATGCTCTAGCAGTAAGTACAACTCAGTTTCCAAAGAATCTTCACACAACTCATACATATGCATGCATTTGCTAAATGATGTAAATGTATTCACCACTTTCATTTCTTTTTGTAGCAGTTGGAGAATCACCGGGATGAGCTACTTTTGTGGACTGCAAAACTCAGGCAACATGTGGATGACCTGGTTATGCAGATGGTCAAAAGAAGAGCACTTGACCTTGTCTACAGGGCTGAGGACCATGCAGCTGAGCTCCAGAGACTTGCAGACTCTCTGGACAGGTGAGAGCTCACCTTGGGGATTTTTCCAAGGTGATGGTCATTGGTGAGAGAGATTAAGAGTGGTTATTTTGTTCTCTCTGTTGAGTTACTCTTCTTTTGGCTGAAAGTGAGATTATTTATTTTATTTACATGGCAAGGAGGAGCTCCCTCCATGCCTGGTAACATAACTGACCATTCACATATATGTATGATGGGGTAATGTAAATTGAACTGGATGGGATTTTGAAAAAAAAAAAAAACTCTGATACCAAACTACCAAGATCTCACTAAATATCTGTCAAGGGCTGTGTAATTATTAGATTTCTTTGGACAGAAAGAAAAACATTCTTTTCTTTGTATACCCTGTCTTTTTGAAGCTTATGACTTGTGCAAGGATAGGGACTTTATACATAGTCTATGCATGTAAATGAAGACATGTTGTACTCTGTCCCAACTTCTAAAAGAAATCACCCCATTTAGTTTCTACTGTTTGAAGGTATACCATTATAATTATTTAACTTATATTTTTGGATGCTTGTTAAATAGGTCCTCAGGTTGTTAAAAGTAGCTTTAACCAAGAAGCACAGAATCAGGCCAGGGATTCCCAAACTCATTTGCACATTAGAACACCTGGAAGACTTCTGAAATACTAATGTCTTTGAGTCTTTGTCTTCTCCTGACCCCCCTCTGAAACATTGTAATGTCATTGGTCTGAGATGTGACCTGCACTTTGGAATTGTTTTAAAGGTCCCATGTTGCCAAATGTTTAGTAAATGAGGAAACCTGTATTTAAGGTCCTATCAATAATTTACAAAATATCATAAGTTATTGATAAATTTATTAACAATTTGATAAATTTAATTATTATCAAGTATGGGTAGAAAAAAGGGTTGAAGATACTGCTTGGGTGTGCTTTTTGGAGGTGGTAAAAGTGCATATCTTTCCATTTTGAGGAATGGTGTCATAAAAAAAATAGATCACACAGTGAAAACAATTAAAAGTGACATGATAGAGGAATATTACATAAATTATGTGCTGAATTGAGCACTTTTGCCTATATATGACACAGGAACCAGTGCTGGGAAATGAAATTAGATACTCAGTTAGCTTTCTCTTTTCATCATCTTTTATTATTTCCCAAATGATAAACTATTTTCTGACTCCATACACAGCTAGAATAAAATCTTCATGACTTAAGGTGAGTAATAAAGGCAGTTTGGTAAGATTGAGAAAGTTACATGGCATTATCTATTATTTATAAATCACAAAATATTGTCAGTTGAGTAGTAACAAGGAATTACTGGTGGTGACTGGTTGGGGAATTAACCAGCACCAAAGCTTAATAAGAAAAGGAGTGAATTATTTGGCAGGCAAAGATGTGTCAATTGTCAGTTTCATTTTCAAGATAGAGTGAGCTAGATAAAATTGCACTATTTCCAGCTGGCACATTCATACATGATTTGCCCATTTGTAAGAATCAAGTTTAGATGATTGAAATATTACCTGATCCTCCCTCAAAATCACAAGTGAGGCCCTCTCTGGTGGAGCAACGGGTTAAAGCACAGTACTGCAAGCTGGCCACGACCTGCCTCAGTGAATGTTCAACCCCCAGCCCTGGAGGTCTGGTGTGGCAGACCTCTCCTGACCTACCCGCTGCTCTGCTCAACAGTGTACTTCATCAATCTGCCTGCTCTGCTCCCCACTCTGTCTCTCACTGCCCCTGTGCCTCTGGCTTGTGACCCAGCTCTATATGTATAAATAAATTAATCTTTAAAAAAATTTTTTTCAAGTGAATGTCATCAAATTGGCATATACCATTGAGGACTAAGAGTCTGCGTCATAACATATACTTGCGAAGTCTTTTTGAAAATTAGCAAGTGCAGTGCTGGAAAGATTATAGCCAAACACAGACTGTGGCTTGTATACAGAGTGCTTGAACACTGATCAAAGATCAAAGAATGTTAATGGCTCCTGGTAGAAACTGATGAATAGTTGGTTTAAAAAATGAAAAAGAGCAATAGTCTCTTATTTGGGTATTAATTAGCAGTTCTGAGTGTTATTTTGAAATGGCTGCTGCTTCTCAAAGATTATTTTTGGATGGACTTTTATGATTAGTGGGCAAATTCAGTTTAGTATATTGTAACAGCTTTCAATATGCTGATTTCTTAGTGGCCTCAGAAATGTTAGACACGTGTCCCTGAATGCCACCAGTGCCACCCATGTCCATTCCGACATTCATAATTTGATTGAAGAATCAGAAAAACTGGCCAAAGATGCTCTCTGTACTGTGACTGAGGAGAATCTGGTAAGAAATGCTCTGTGGACTTTAGTATGAACCTTCCTTTTTCCAGGCATCAGGAGAGATATTCCTATTAGTTGCTTGAGCATAGATCCAGTGCCTTAAATGTATGCTTTTCTAATGGGATTGGTTTATGGTTTCTGTCATTATGTGACTTTTTTAAATTCCTGAGGGCATAAATATTACTTGATGAAGACCAGATGAAGACCAGGAACAAGTGATGTAAAGATGAGAAAATGCTCCCAATTTCTTATGACAAAAATGGTAATGCTACTACTCGACTATCTTCTTAAGAACTTTCCTTATTGGTGATGAAAATCTTCACATAGTGATGATTTTTGTCTTTACATATTTTAAAATGGTCTATGTCCATTATCCTTAGCCATAAATTAGAACATATATTCAACACACTTTAGTAAATATAAATTATCCCTACCTTTTATCTAGTGGACTTTCTTCTTTGGAACTAGGCTGAAGTTTTCTCTACCACATGCTGCTCTCTTGTCACCATGTTTAAATGCTCTGTTTTCCAGCTCTCAGAATCCCTCATTCCCAAGGGGAAGGTGGTGCTCCAGAACAGCTCCAAATTTCTAAAAGATGGCAATAACCTGAGCAGAAAGCATCAAGGTCAGTTTTTAGCTCGGGCTGTGTTGATGTCACCCTACAAATTACTTTTCTTTCCTGAAGCAATTTAAAGCTGAATATTTCTTTGTCACAATAATAGTACTTCTTTGTCACAATCTACTATCTTATAAAATCATATAACTTAGATTTTATTATAGTGCTGTCTCTTATTTTAATGTGCAGTCACCTCTAATCTTCCATAAATTCAAATCTTCCTTAATAACTAAACCTGTTGCTTTAGCTCCTGAGCTTTAACTGTTCTTCTTTGTACTTACTGGATTATCTTCAATTTCATGTGTTTCTCTATCTATTTCTTGTTGGTTCATCATTTCTTGAAGACCAGGGTTATGATTGAAACTTCTTTTATCTTTTTCACAAAGCTAATTGTTAGATTTATTGTAGGTTGTCCTTAGATGATAATAGAACTAAATTACAATGGACTTATTAGTTTTTTTGTTTTTTAATGCCTATGCAGTTTAATCTTTCCTAAGAGTTCCAATAAAAGATTATTTGGCATGTGTAAGAGCTGTCCAATAAGCGCAACATGCTATAATACCTAGAATCTGTTACATAAGAGAAGGCATGGTTTCATAACACATAGTGTACTCTTCACCTTAATATATTCTAACATATCAGAAATATCTTTCTCCCTGTAGGAGTAAAGAGTGAGCTGTAAACAAAATTTATAACCCCACACTACTTCCACATCCAGTATTGGATCCTTCTATAGCTGCCTAACTGAGGCTTAGATATGTTCATATTTTTTGTTTTCCTGTGGGTGACAGAATTTAGAATTTAGAATTTATGTTGTCATCTCACAGTATAGGAAGTGAATAATATTCTATCATAAAGCATTAAACACAAACTTTGGCACCAGTGTCAGTGAGCTGTGGTTTCAGCTGATACAACTAGTATTTCATACTGAATTTTTAAGCTATTAAAATTTGGGGCAGAACCATCGTGCTCATCAAGGATTTTATCAATAATTATTTTAACCATGTGTTCCAAATGTGATTGCCTATTATAAACCGATATTTTAAGAGTAAAATCTTTATTCCTATAGCTTTGAGGAATCTTGAAAACCGATTAAATTGAACATCTCTTGTATCATCAGGTGGGTGTAGAGTGGGGAAGGCCTGCAGTGTATATGGGACATGGGGAAGCATTCCCAGGACAGATCCCATATATAGGGTTTCACAGAAGAGAAAAGTGGTCAGGATTTAGGTGTAGACAGGAAGTTAATGAGTCAGATTAAGATCAATTGATTCAGTTAGCTCTTCACCCATTAATTCTAATTAAATTGGACTTGTGTGTTAAGAAAAAAAATTATAAAGGAGAATAACAAGCAAACTAAACAAAATGATCAAAAAAACTAAAAATATACAATTTCTACAATGATAGAGATGGAAGAACTTTCCGTATTGGCTTGAGTCAGGAGGTCTCTGTAGAAAGCTGTTGACTATACATCACTGGTAATCAGGGAAATGCAAGTCAAAACCACAATGAGATACCACCTTACACCAGCGAGAATGGCACATAAAAAAAAAAAAAACAAAAAAAACAAAAACTAGCAACACCAGATGTTGGTTAGGATGTAGAGAAAGATGAACCCTCCTACATTGCTAAAGGGAAAGCAAACATGTCCATCCAACCACTATGCAAAACTATGTGGAGGTGCCTCAAATTGCTAAAAATGGACCTCCCAGTTGATCCAACATTTTCTGCCTTGGGCATTACCCAAAAGACACAAAAATATTAATTCAGAAGAGCACTTGCACGCCTATGTTTATTGCAGCACAGTTCACAATAGTTGAGCTATGGAAACAACCCAGTCACCCCAAAATAGATAACTGGATCAAGAAGATATGGTATATCTGTATCTATGTCTATATATAGATAAATAGAGATATAGATATATATATATAGATATCTGTAGATATATACCTATATCTATATATATGTGTTTGTGTATGTGTGTATACACATACACAATGGAACACACACATACACACAATGGAACACACACATACACACAATGGAATATTACTCAGCAATCAAAAAAGATAAATTCATGTCATTCACAGCAACATGGATGGAGTTGGAATGGGTCATGCTCAATGAAATAAGCCAGAAAAAAAAGAAAAAAATACTGGATGGTCTCATTATAGGGACGCAAATAGGGATCAAGGGAAAATAGTAATTATAATAAAGTAAATATCAAAATTAACAGACAACTATAATCCCGAGACATTCTTTGGAGGAGGGGGAAGAAAATGGTTTAAAACAGTGGAAAGAGCACAAGGGACTATGATGATGGTACAGGGGTGAACTGGTGATGGGAACTGGTAATGGGACTAAACATGAGTAGATAAAGCATACAATGTATGAAATGAAAAATGGTGTAAAAGTATGTAAAAGTATATATGCAATTTTAAAATAAATTTTAAAAAAGAAAGCTGCTGATTCTATAGGTGGAAAGGAGTGAAAAGAAAGTGTGCCTCGGTTACTTTTTAGTAGCCTAGCCTAAAACACAATGCTCTTTCTTCTCTAAATAGGTATCACATTGAAACTGAGTGAGTTGAAAAGAAAAGTGAACAGATTTCAAGAGAATACTCATCAAATTACTAAGCGAGCCAATGAATCACTCTTAATACTTCGAGCAATTCCTGAAAGTAAGTGGAAAGGGAGTTCGTGATTCAATTAATGCCTTCTCATTGCAAACCATTACACACGAGCAGAGCAACGTCCCACCCAGGTCTGATTAAGAGCCCTCACGGAAATGAGAACAAGATGGATAGTTTTTACTTGCAGAATATGATTTGGAAGTGAAGATCACTATTTTTTAGGCACTTCAGGGCACCTTCACTGAAATACTTGAATTTTGCTCTTGAAAACTAAAGCTTTAGAGATTTTTATTTTTATTTTTGTGAGTGTATACCTTTGAATCCCATTGTCATTGTCATTCAATGTTGCCTCAGTACGATTTTTAAAAAATGGATTTGACACATTCTGTAGACGGTAAAGGTCATTCAAGAAGCTGCTGAGAAACTAGAATGCTCCTGCTTTAATGAGAAATGCCAAATTCATTGCAAATGTGGAAAATTAAAGAACTCTGTTTTGATACTCTTCCTTCTTGAGGCCACAAAACATTCTAAACTAGGTTCATGTTTTAATATTGATGATTTGGAAATGCAATATTCATTAAAATGAGGAACTTTTAAAAAGTCCAACATAAATGAATTAACCTGCTGTGCATTATTTATATTCTCTCAACCTCTTTTCCTTGATAAACACTTTCTAAATAAATCTCAAAATGCCTAAACTCATCCCCAAAGCTCTTCTGCATGCTGGTTCACCTTGACATCATGAAAATTACCCTGAGGAATTGAACGTAGGATGCCCTGGAGTGACATCTTACCTTAAAGAAATGGAACATTTTCTAATTTGGAAGTTTCTTTGTTTCTTTTCCTTTTTTTTTTTTTTTTCAAGGACACACAGTATATGTTAATGAAACACTTAAAAATAATGTTTTATTTGGGAGTAATTTGAAACTTACTGAAAAGATGCCCAAAGAATAAAATGAATACCTGCCTGTCCTTTATACAGCTTTTTCTAGTGCAAAGTTTTGTCCTGCTGGTGATTAGACATTTTTAGTGAATATTAGTGCCTTTAAAAGAATCATCACCCACATTTTCTAGAATAACTGAATTCCATTTTATCATTATTGCCTTTAGGATTTTTACTTTGCTGTTATTTCTAGCAGCCAGTTGATATTCTGTGTAAATGCCACTTCCACTGGTCTAAAACATTTCCAACTCAATTAAGGATTTAGTTGCCCAGTTTTTTCTATCTGCACATAGAATGGTTTGAAGAAGGTGCTTAATGAATTGACAGGGAGTGCTAAAAAGGGACTAAATAAAATAGTTAGCTTGGGCCCTTCCTGGTGGTACAGCATGTTAAAGTACAGCACTAAGAAGCTAAATCCACTTCATCATGTGTTCGATCTCTGCCCGGGAGGTGACCCACATGGCATGGCAGACCCCTCCTGAACTGCCCTCTGCTCCCCTCAGCAGTGTACTTCATCAGTCGGCCTGTTCTGTTCCCCACTCTGTCTTTGGTGAAGCCTCTCACTTCCCACACCTCTGGCCTGTACCCCAGTTCTATATGCATAAATAAATAACTCTAAAAAAATTTAACTTGTTAACCTATACGATGCTAACATGTAACAATGACTGTTTGTATGACCTCACTATGTATTGAAATTTTATTTCAGTATGGGGTTGTCACCAGAGTTATTTCATTCACTTCTAAGAGGGAGCACTAGAACATATAAGCAGACCTAATATTGATATTAAAAATAAAAAATAAAATACTCACTGTATTCAACACCAATAAGAAGCTTTACAACATGTTCCTATACACGTTGCAGTTATGCGGCTTTATCTTTTTGCCTGTGCATAATCACCAGAGTGTATAACTGCACATGACTTTACTTCAGGTATCAGAGACAAAGGTGCCAAAATCAAAGAACTGGCCACATCTGTGATTGAAAGTGCTGGGAGCACCCTGAAGACCACTGAGGGTTTGACCAGGAAGCTTTTGAACACATCCCCTGGCTTGTCAGAGATCAACAGCACCTTACAAGAAACAAACCGACTTCTGCGGGACTCTTCAGTAACCAGTAAGCCCATTGGGGTCCTTCCCGTTAGGATGGTCAGCATCATGCAATTGTGAGTTTTTCATGTGCATGATGGTGACTTGTTCACAAACAGCAGTCCTAAAAGTGGAAAATGCACTAACATCTGGATTTATGTTTATAAGAAAAGAGAAGGGCCTTGAGTAATTCCTGTGCTGGTATGCTTTTTACATCTTTTCCACAATTACAAGGATTTGATTATTAATATATTCTACTTTACCCAGAGCATTCATAACAATTTCTCTCATTTCCTTCCACCACCCCCAACTTTCCTGCCACCTCTCACCTCTTCATGTTTGTTAGCTTTGCTGGCAGGAAGAAAAGTTAAGGATGCAGAAACACAAGCCAACCTGTTATTTGATCGGTTGAAGCCTTTGAAGGTACTAGAAGAGAATCTGAGCAGGAACCTATCAGAAATCAAACTACTGATCAGCCAGGCCCGGAAACAAGCTGCTTCGGTAAGTTGAGGCTCCCCCAGACCCCCGCCCTCAGAAACACCCTGCACCACCACACTGAGGCTCTGGGCAGCTCCAGGACCCGGAGAACTCCTTGGAAAATGACACATCTCCACTAGACTTTGGCTCCAGCTCTCAACAATTTCCAGGTCCCTCACAGCCTGTCTTATGTGCACTTAATGAGGCTTAATAAATCTCACCTTCTCTTTGACTTCTGTTTTTATTTAATATATTTCAAAATGTTGTTAGCAAAGAGATCGCCGTGCCGTTATGGAGATTTATAATTGTAACCTCGAGGTATTACTATTAGATGGCATGGAACACATTAATTTTAAGCGTTCACATCACATTAAATGTCCCTGGCTGCTGTTGTCTTTATTTCGCCAACTTTGTTTTGCTGTTCTCAGTGCTTCTCAGCAAACTCAGGCAATGTGGACTCTTTGCTTCTGTGTATCATAATGCTGCACCCCTAAACATGGAGTCCCACCCCCAAACATGAAACATTTGATCCTGGGAGAAGCTCAGATTTGAGAAAATGCTTTTAGCCTCTGTAATACACAACGTGGTCACTGCTCCAAAGGAAAGGAGTTTCAGGAATAAAACTTTAAAGATAATGGGCAATTGCCATGCTCCTGAGGATCTGAAGAGGCTTGGTCTAATGTCTCTCTGCCTGAAGCTTTCAAGTTCAGAAAAAGCAGTTCTGGGACTTTGCATCCCCTCCTTCCATGCTGACCTCACTGTTGGAAAAGGATAGAGTTCTGGTTTCCATCTGTTTTAGTTACAGTCGCTAATAACTGTAGGCTCAATGGATGTTTCCAAGTGTTCTGGCTAATATCAACTTATCGTCTTTAAGGTCCATATGCAAATAATTACTTACTAAGGAAATATGTATCATTAACATGTAGTATTTATAAAACACAAGCTTCTCTATAAATATTTGCTAAAAGGAAGAAGCAAATAATGTCTCCATTGTCTGGACAAATGATTATCAAATATTCCTGTCAGGCAGGAAGATTCCAAAGTGATTTGGATAAGCTGCTGTCTTTATGGAATTACATCTCACTTGAAAGGGGTAGTTTCCTACGTTAAATACTCTTTTAATACCCCAAGTTCAAGTGTTTTACCAAATGAAACCTACTTTATGAAACACAAAACATCATGTATTGTCAAGAGAGGAAAGCTCCTGAGCAGCAAAGATCCATATAGAACACTGACTTCCTGGCAGGCTGCTAATGTGTGTCACTAAATGATGAGACATCACCTTCCCCTTTACAGATTAAAGTCGCTGTGTCTGCAGACAGAGATTGTATCCGGGCCTACCAGCCACAAATTTCTTCTACTAACTATAACACCTTAACACTCAATGTTAAAACAAGTGAACCTGATAATCTTCTCTTCTACCTGGGAAGCAGTACCAGTGTGAGTATGAATCTGCAGAAAGCTCATCTCATGTCAGTGTCTCTACTGATGGTTTTTTAATTTAAAAAAAAAAAAAAAAAAAAGGTTATTGGTGAAATCACTGATTCTGCTAAAGGATCTAACCTTTCCGTAAAACTAGTAACATTAGATGAAAAGTACACTACAAAATGAATGCCCATGTGAAGGACTGCAGCATTTATGAGAGGTGCTGTACTGTGCCATGGAATGTCAGGCTGCAGCAATAGCCATTTCTTAACATCTTTTGTGACCTGAAAAGCCATTGAGTTTAACTGAGTCCATAAAATCAATTTCAGTGGTGGTTACCAGAAATGGAGGAGTGGAGGGCCATATTGGAATTAGTAAGTTGCTCTCTAACTCTTCCACCCAACAAGACTGATGATCCCCAGAGAGTGAGTTCCCTGTGGAAGACTCACCCATTGAAACCCTTGGCCGTGCCAGTGCCTTTGAGCATATTCGAGCGGAAAATAGTAACACACATACTCTTTCAGTTGTCTTTTTAGATGATAAGATGCAAAATATATGCAAGTTCACGATGAATTTCACAGCTCCCATCACTGCATATTTCACATTTGCTTAGTACCTACCACACAGAGAAGTATGTTCCCTAAATTGCTGTTCTTCATGTTTCTGCAAGTTTTCCTGGAGAATTTTAGGGGACGGGCTGTAGAGGGCCCTGCTGGGCAAGGACTGTGGGACACGTCTGTCATGGCCGCGGCCCCAATATTCTGAGCTATGTTTCAGCTCCAGGGAGGGGGGCATTTGGAGACAAAGGGAGGTCATTTTTCTTTGTTTTATGAGTTTTCTTTTGAAGAACAGAGAAAAGAATTTAAGAATTTAAGAACACGAATTTAAGAATTCGTGTTGAAAGTGTCTTGGTAGCCACATGAATAACCTAGCATGGAAGCTTACCCCAGTTCATGCCCTCCAGGCTGACTTCCTGGCGGTGGAGATGCGACGTGGGAATGTGGCCGTCATCTGGGACGTGGGCTCTGGGTCGGCGCGGTTAGAATTTCCAGACTTTCGCATTGATGACAACAAATGGCACAGTATTTATGTCACCAGGTAGAGAAAATCCCTGCAAACACCTTTTTTTTTTTAATCATTTCTTCTACATAATTACATTGGTAATATCATGCAATAGTCTGAAACATCTGGGAAGTCAGGTTATAGTGAAAAATATGTAGTTTCCATTAACTATGAAAATGAAAATTTTTTTTTTCCCCTTATTACAGAAGAAATAAGCCAACCTAGTAAAATGTTTTCTCCTGGGTAAAGGGAAGTAAAATGTGGTATGATAGAAATCCCACATGGTGGGCAGGGGAAAGAATTGAGAAGAACAGAGGCCTGTAAGCTTTCTTAAATTTCAGGCACAAAAGGAAATTTTCCTTTTAAAGCCTCTCTTCAGAGGGAATTACATTCAGGCATTGTATGCTATGTCTTTCTTCTTTTCTACAGTATCATCATTAGGAATTTTTATTGTTTGTTTTGTTATTTATAAAAATCAGGGTGTATTTGATGGCTGTAGACTGTTTCAAATAGTTGAACTCATTACCCTTAACTATTTTAAGCAAGCAGTTATCATGGCGAAATTTATTTAGAAAAGTAAACGTGGATGAAGGGGGTAACACAGAAGTAGACGAATTGGGGCGGCTGTTGTTGAGGACACGGCGAGAGGCAGATGGAAGCTGTGTATGAAACAGGTGTGTATATTTGGGAACTGACAGGAAGTTATTTTTTGCAATTATTTGTGACCCTTAGGTTTGGAAACATTGGTTCATTGAGTGTAAAGGAAATGAGCGCATCGCAAAAGCCACCTCCAAAAACAAGTAAATCCCCTGGAACAGCTAATGTTCTGGATATAAACAACTCCACGCTCATATTTGTCGGAGGCCTTGGAGGACAGATCAAGGTAACATTGTGAACATTTGCCTGAATGTTTATTTGATTGGCCTTTTTTAACCTATGTACAAAATGTGTATGTTTAAATTGTTGACTGTTGTCCTAAGCAGATGAAGGTTTTTCTGATACTATCATTTTGCTTCATAACAGTTTATCTGCAGAGTTGCGTCGGTTTTGTAAAGGATCACGCTTAATTGCACAGATGGGAAACTATTGATGTTTCTTTCCCAATAATAAAATAGGAAATTCAGTATTCCACATTAGTTTTTCTACAGTTCCTCGATCTCTTTTCTGGCTATAGCGATTGACTAATACGAATTAGTGTTTAGCAGAGAGCCCATTGACTTTATTATATCAGTTCTCCCTTCACAAAATATAGTTAAGTCATTTGAAATCTGGTTGGAAGTTCAAATTAAACTCTGATATGAAACTTCTCAGTTCCAGCTGGGCCCTCACCACTAGACAGCCTCGCTCTTCTTTCTAAGGGCTTCTCTCCAGAAACCCTGGGAATAGAGGTGACATTTAAGATCCTATCAGGCTGTCACTCAGTGTAGAATCCAGCCTCATAAGTGAAAGGAAATGCCATCATTAGAACCCATTTTTCTGGATGCCATTTTCTTTAAAAAAGATTTATTTTTATTTATGCATAGAAGAACTGGGGTACAGACCAGAGGTGCTGGGGGTGAGAGAATTCAACCAGAGTCAGAGAGGGGAGCAGAACAGGCACATCTACTGAAATACACTGCTGAGGGGTGCAGCAGGCGGGTTCATAGAGGTCTGCCGTGCCATGTGGGTCACCTCCCTGTCTGGGAATTGAACTCGTATTGCAGTGGCTTATGAGAGCTTCATGGTGCTGTACTTTAAAAACCATTGTGCCATCAAGGAGAGCCCCAGATGTTATTAAATTTTCTCAAAATTTGGATCGGTTTAACTTAAGCTTCCAGGAATAAGTTTCATGTTCTTCAACTTTATTCCTTTTTACCAAATATTAAGTAACGTTTATTTGTTTACATTAGAAGTCCCCTGCTGTGAAGGTCACTCATTTCAAAGGCTGCATGGGAGAAGCCTTCCTGAATGGACAGTCCATTGGCCTGTGGAACTATCTTGAAAGGGAGGGGAAGTGCCACGGCTGCTTTGGCAGGTAATGCACCCCACAATTTAACACATGCTCTTTTAGTCTGTAAGTACCTGAGAAAGGACTCAGGAACATCAGAGGTAGAGGTGATGCTGGTCCTCTTAGGACAAAAGATGTGATCTAGCTCATCTACTATTTGACCCCTGGCTATCACTTTTTATCCTTAAAAAAGAAGTGTTCTTTTTGCTGCTTTTATTGGATACTTAAACTGTGGATCATAAAATCAAAATATATCACATATATTTTCAATAGCTTCTGTTTCAAAATACCACAACTAAGTCTTGGATTTTTCACTGTATATGTTTTACTTTCTCCCCAAGAATGAGATATTTGGATTATTTGTGTACTCGGTTTTTATAAATAGTACTTTCCTCTCCCTAAGTCCCATAACTCTAGAAATAGAATGCATTTGGAAATGGAAAACAACTATCTACAACCATCTTTTTGCATATACTCACATAATAAGAAACATTTAATAACTGAATTCACAGGACTCAACACTCCTACTATTTTTTACTAAAATAACTGCAATCCTGTAAGTATTTAAGACTTGTTTCTTAGCACTTTAGTAATTAAGACAATAGATCACCTTTGCCATTGGAAAAATGTAATGTCGGATGTAATTGCTCCGATCTACTGGGCTGCTCTGTCCAGATAAATCTCTGGATGAGTCAACAGTGAGCTGTGAGAAGACCAGTTACAGCAGTTTGTGTTACATGGAGAGATTCATTTCCCTTCTCTTATTGTCAGGTTTGTTTGCTCATCCGACATGGCTCATCATTTGGAGTTGTGTAGTAGAAGTTACTGTCCCCTTCCCTGGGCTTGCCTAAGAGCAGACGCCCTCTTCATTAGTGGAACCTGTGTTTTTTCTAAGACTCCTGGCCCATTCGCCTACCAAAGCTCTCTTGCTTACTTTGGGTACTAAACCATTCACCTCATGGAGACTTGGTTCCTTCTCCCAGAAAAGAAAATGATAATTATGCTTGCCCCAGACTATGATGATAAGCACATAATATATACACGAAAATACTTTGTACATTTGAAACTGGTATTTTTTTTTTAAAGGTTTATTTGTTCATACAGAACTGGGGTACAGGCCAGAGGTGCCGGGACGGTGAGAGGCTTCACCAGAGACAGAGTGGGGAACAGAACAGGCAGATCGATGAAGTACACTGCTGAGGGGAGCAGCGGGCGGGTCAGGAGAGGTCTGCCAGGCCATGTGGTTACCTCCGGGGCAGGCGGGGGTTGAACTCATGCTGAAGTGGCTTTAGCTTCTTAGTGCAGTGCTTTAACCCACTGCGCCACCAGGGAGGGCCTGAAACTGGTATTTTTCTCTGACCTTCTTGTTGTGCTCGCTCATTACTTTCCATGTAAATATCTCAAAATTGTTTTCTTGACAATTAAACTCATGAAATTCCAAGATTTGATAATTGGCTGATAATGGTGAAAATATGTTACTTTGTGAGATAGTGATACCCTCCCTTAACCTTGGGGAGCATGAGCTGATGAGCCTAGCCTTTTCCTCTGTCACTTTTTTCTTGAGTTGTTTTTCAAGTCAGGAGGGAAGTGCTCCCAGCAATTAGTAATTTAATCATGAAAAATGCTCAAGACACTGTCCCCTACACTGACCCCAGATCATTAATCTCACTTGTACAATGAAAAGTCTTAACAAAAATTGAACATGGCTAGTAGAAAAAATATACCCCTATGGTATAATATTCCCAGTTCTCATGAGTCATTTTTAGGGTTATTCTTCAGCAATGAAGATTAATAATTATTGTTGGCTCTTTTCCTCTTTTGTTGGAATGAGGACATCAAGGTTTCATTTGACAACTGCCCTCCCACCCAACTCTGTCCACCTCCTGGGACCTGGGACTGGAAGGTACGGGTGGGCACAGTGGGGGCTGCAGCAATGCCTACCCCCCTTTACCTTAGCCCAGAGCTGGCTGCCTGGGCACACAACTGGCAACTGGCTACCCAGCCTCCTCTGGGACCAGACTGGCTCTGTAGCACAATTAAATGTGCTTTTCTGGGTACTAAATAAATCAATTGGTCATATGAACATTTCCCAAAACATGGTTTTATTAAGGATATGAGTTTGGTAGATTATTAATAAATATTCCTTTCTCTTAAGAAGTGTGACAATAGAGGGTGTCTCCAGAACATAAATAATTTGAAAATTTTAAAAAATGATAGAGCATGTTTCTTTCCTCTGAGGACAACAGAGACACTGGAACACCCCTTTGGGAGAAGCCAGAGTTATCAGCTTTTCCTAAACTTGTTTGATCATTTGAACATTCCAGAATTTGGAATTTGCACGTTTAACTTATATTACAAAGTAAACTAATTGACATTTTGTTTTCTTATCCTTCTTTGAACACATTTATACTTCTTTACATTATCAGCAAGTGTTTATAATATTTGTACATTCAAAACAATCTCTTAATTTAGAACATCTAATTAACAGGCATAATTTTGCATTCTCCTGGTCTCTTTAAGTTAGGATTAAACCCATCCTTTGTTAGTTCATGTTGTGAAGCGGCTGAACTTTGGCTCATCTGTGTTTGGGGCCCTTTGCTAAGTCCCAACAATGTCATCAGAGGTCAGACAAGTTGATTTCCTCTGATGCCCCGTGATCTAGGGGTGAATTATCTACATAGAAACATTTCTAAAAGTGCCCCTCATCCATGACAAGGAGGAGCAACACTCAGTTCTCAGTATCCTAAGCCTGGACCATGGTGGTCGGTCTCTTGCTTAACAGCTGCACAGTGTGTTCATGGGTAGTGCACATTCTCTCTGCGTCATGAACAGAACTTGGATCTAGTGACTTTTCCAGGCTCGCAGAGCTGTGAGCCAGTGAGGAGGGGTTCACCCTAGGCCAGCATGATGGCCAGGCCCCTCCAAAACCACTAGGGGGCTACAACAGAGCTATCCACGAAGTGCTGACCAGCACTCATTCATCCTGGCCTCCTACCCTACAGGAACCAGCTGTCTTCTCGTGGCTCATCTGGGGCACAGGGTCTGGACTGATTGGGGACCTCAAGGTGATAGAACAGAAGCTAGACCACATGGGGACAGCTCCAGAAACACGTGGTTGACCCCAGGGACATGGCAATCACACCCTTAGAGCAGTTGTTTCCATCATCATTTCCCTTGAATCCTTTCCTGGCACCAACCCGGGGTAGACCCTGCTGAAGGTGTCATGCTAGAGCCACACCCTCATGTTCCTGAGAGCAGAGAATTCACAAGCCTCAAGGAGGGGAGAAAGTACACAGGGATGCATACAGAAAATGCAGAGGGGTGAGACGTATTTCTGGAGTTTTGTTTGAAACCTGGCGTCTACATTTTCTTGGGGTATCCTTGGGCAAAGTACTTATTAATCTCTGAAGCTTAATTTTCAGTAGCCAAAATGGGGACCCACCAAAGACCTTTGAACACAACAGAGAATAATCAGAGCTAAAATATAGTCAACATTTGCTAGATGCCAGACAATTTCAATGTGTCTTCTCTTAGAAAGCTTCTGTTATTCTTATTCCTTTGTTAATACATAAGGAGAGTGAAGCACAGAGAAGTTAGATAACTTCTCCAAGTTCATACCACTAGTCATTTGCAGTCTGGTTCTAGAGTCTTGAATCATATTAAACTGTAGTCAGTCATGAGGCAGAGTAAAGAACATGCTTTTAGGAAGACACTGTCTTGAGAATTAACAAATTGAAACTAAGCCACAATGTCAGAGTTTTTTTTTTTTTTTTTTTTTTTTAACAGAGTACATTTTTCAAGTCTTACTTCTTAAGAGTGTGCAAGACAGAGTGTATAAGAAAATCAGGACTGTATGAAACTGTATGAAACCTGATTTCATAAAACATGATGGAAGGAGTTTCACTATTTGGTTATGGAAGGAGTTTCACTATTTGGTTATTCTGTGCTGCTTGGACATGTGACACTAAATTTGGTTATTACAGCTTCAATTGGGAAAATTTCAAATTCAGATACCAAAAATCAAGAACAACAAAACACCCCAGCTCTGTCTGTTACTCTAAGGCTGTGTGATATTCCAGAAAACTCTTTTAAACTGTATGATACGTTCCAGATTAATTTACTGAGTAATTAAGCAATTAGGCAGTGGGCCAGGACAGCCAATTGAGGCACCGGGGCGGGAGGGGGACAGTGAAACACAGGTATCTGAGAAGTGTGTGTTCTATTCATAAGACTGTTGTAAGCTCATCCTGCGAAGATTTATTTTTGTCAATGAATTTTTTTGGTAAAATTATCCTTCAGGCACACCATTGCCTGTTTGATTCCAGCTTATCTGGTTTATTAGTTAAACGCAGCAGAGTGCAACAGATGGCTTATGTACAAATTATTCTGAAAACACTAGAATGAAGGGCTGTTAAATTAAAAGAAATTAGAAAAACCAAACCAAATAAAAATGTAGTTAATAGCATAGTAGTTTTCTATTTCTTAGAAGAAATTTCTTTTGCTGCCTACACGCATTTCTTTTGCTCAGAGAGCAACTGAGCATTTGTCTTGCATAATCTCATGACAAGTATCTTTCAAAATATGATGATGGATACTTGCTATCAAAATATGGAAATGACAGCTTTACCATCATTTTTGTGAGGGTGAATTACTAAAAGCATCATTTTTTGTCTATCATCTACCTTCTTGAGAATGGATTATCTTTACCTGCTCTGCTTTTCAGTCTCCAGAATGAAGACTCTTCCTTCCATTTTGATGGGAATGGGTATTCTGTAATGGAGAAGACACTCCGAGCTACCGTCACTCAGATAATTATGCTTTTTAGTACCTTTTCACCTAATGGACTTCTTCTCTACCTCGCTTCAAATGGCACGGTGAGAGTCTTTGTGCCGCCCGGGGACCCACTGTGTGTATACAGCTGGATTGCCATGAGGACATCCATGTTTGGAGATAGTAGCATGCATGAATGCCCATGTGTTCGGTTTCCCCATGTCAAATTATTTACTATATTACAAATGAATTGAAGAACCTTTGGAAATCAGAAGAATCCTAAGTAGAAAGTAGCCTACCAATCCAAACCATAGATACCAATGAAGCATTAGAATTTGAGCTTAAATAATGCCTTTCTCCTTGTACAAATCTTATATGCATAAATTTCATGTTCCCATTTTGTACTTCATGGGTTGGTGATTGATTTTTCTATATCTTCTGGTTTTATCTTAGGACTGACTTTTTAAAAGTTTCATTTTTTTAAAAAAATATTTAATTAATTTATTATGCATACAGAACTGGGATACAAACCAGAGGTACAGGGGCTTTGAAAGTCCTCACCAGAGACAGAGTGGGGAGCAGAACAGGCAGATCAATGAAGTACACTGCTGAGGGGAGCAGCGGGCGGGTTAGGAGAGGTCTGCTGCCATGTGGGTCACTTCCAGGGCTGGGGATTGAACTTGCACTGAAGCAGCTACTGCCAGCTTACAGTGCTGCGTGCCAACCCATTGCACCACCAAGGAGGGCCCTTTTTATCAGTTTCAATGGAAAAAGTTGGAGATGCCACTTCTTATGAATTACAGTGTAGTATCCATGTGTGTATTTCATTTATGTCTGTGTGATTCCAGAAAGTCTTCGTGCACATTAGTAGCTTCCCAGCCTGGACTCCTGGCTGTGGGGCCAGGTGCAGTTTTCTAAACTTGACTTTTAAAGGATCTGCCACCTCTGTCTCGAAAAGAAGGGCAAGCTTGTGATAATGATTAGCCACAGGTAATTATTTTTTCTCTTCTTTGCAGAAGGACTTTTTAGCCATTGAGCTGGTCCATGGCAGAGTTAAAGTCACAGTTGACCTGGGCTCAGGGCCTCTTGCTCTTATTACAGACAGACGATATAATAACGGCACCTGGTACAAAATCGCCTTCCAGCGAAACCGAAAGCAAGGTAAAGCTGGTCTATGGATGAGAGGTCGGCTACCCTTGTGGGATTAAAAATCTTTCCCAAATCAGTAGTCATTCTCCTTTAACTTCCTGGGTATTCTTGAATTAAATTCTAATCAAAAGCCATTGTTTTCCTTGAAATAATAAACACCAAGATTCACATTTTTCTGGAAGAAAATGTTAATTCTCATTGTCTATGGTTTCGAAGTGAGTCATTTAAAATTAAATACTTATCTGAAATCAAGAATCAGATCCATTCTGTTTTCTTCTACCTACATACTATTCTTATATTAAATACACACTATTCTAAATAGGGTCATAATACCTATGTGTATTATAGATTTATTGAGGTTCATCCAGAGGATTTTCATTTGTCCTGTAATGGTCAAGAACCTTAGGTGGTCATATTAGCAGAATGTAAAAGAACATGTCTTTTACATGAATTTTTAAAATATTTAATCTAGAATGAAATTTTGATTTTGTGATATAATTTTTCCCATCTCTTTTTAGGACTCCTAGCTGTTATTGATGCCTATAACACGACTTACAAAGAAACCAAGCAAGGTGAAACTCCAGGAGCATCTTCTGACCTCAATCGTCTTGATAAGGATCCAATTTATGTGGGTGGATTACCTAGGTCAAGAGTTGTAAGGTATAATATCACACTAAAGGATTTTCATGTTCCTAGAGCAATTTTTTAGCTATCATAACCAGGTAGCCCAAACTGGGTGGCTTAAACAACACGATGTATTATCTTACAGTTTGGGAGGAATACAAGTTTGAAATCAATGTGTCTGCTTCCTTCTGAGATCTGTGAAACAAACTATTCCTTGTCTTTCTCTAAGCTTCTATATTCCTCAGTTTGTAGATGGCATGCTACAAGTGTCGAGTGTCTCTGTGTACATTTGTAAGAACACAGTCATATTGGATTAGGACCTATCCTTATAATTTTGTCTTAATGCTGTCATATCTGCAACAAACTTATTTCCAACTAAGGTCACATTTAAGGCATTGGGGTTTAGCACTTTCACACATTTGGGGAGGATAACAACTACTTTGATTTAGTCTACTATATGCCTTGTTAACTAAGAAGTAAAGACAGTTTTTGGGGTATAATTAATGATCTTCTATTTAATGTCTTTAGAACATCAGAAATTGTTATAAGCAATATTTGGACACCTTCTTTCCTTCCAATATTCATCATTCTCCTCTCTGTTTTTTAGTGTAACAGAATATCTTTCAGGGGAAAAAAAATGCTTTTTGTAGACTTAGATAGATTCCCCCTTTATGTGAGTAGAATGAATAATGTATGTGGAAGTTGAAAGACCAGCATCAGGAAGGTGGATAAGAGAAAGCAGAAGAGAGAAATCCTTTTGTAACACTGATTCATGTTTAGCTTTGTAACTTTATCAATTTAAATAAAACTTCTGTGATTCACTGTCCTTAGTTTTATAATTTTGGGTTGCACAAACTAAGCTCTAAAATCTTTCACATCATTAAAAATGTGAAAGACCAGTAGTCAGAGCAAGAGAAGCTAATTTCTTCTACCAAATCTTAATACCTAGGATAACAATGCAAACCACTAGTTGCTATGGATTAAAGAGCTCAGAATTTACTTCCCTACTTCCCCACTGCCTTCTCTTTGCCAGATATTTCTCTAAGTCCCAAGGAAATTGTTTGTAATCACAGTTCACCAATAGGTTTGGAAAGGAATTTAATTTAAACTTCAGGGAAACTGATTGTTTTGCCACAGGTCTTAGCCCTCTTTCAAGAAAGAGCCAGGGTCAGGAGCCTGTTTTCTTTAAATTTTTTTTTTAAAGATTCATTTATTTATTCATACAGAACTGGGGTACAGGCCAGAGACGCAGAGAGTGAGAGGATTCACCAGAGACAGAGCAGGGAGCAGAACAGGCAGATCGACGAAGTACACTGCTGAGGGGAGCAGCGGGCGGGTCAGGAGAGGTCTGCCACACCATGTGGTCACCTCCGGGGCAGGTGGGAATTGAACTCATGCGGAAGTGGTTTCAGCTTCTCAGTGCAGTGCTTTAACCCGCTGCGCCACCAGGGAGGGCCCAGGAGCCTGTTTTCTAACCACAGTTTCCACATCTTACTCCCTGACATGGTGACTCCAGTAGCCACCATTGTGTTATAGCTCAGCTATGAGTTCCCTGAACACCACACTATGTAGACACCGGATAAAAGGATAAAGCCTCTGGCCTAGGAAAATATCCCAAAACCCACTTTCTTGCTAGAAAGAATTTGGGTATCATCAGTGTCAGTCTCCTCATTTACAGTGGGAAAATATGAGATCCAGAAAGGTTGAAATTTCACCTGAGTCATATAGTTGCTTAATGATCTGCAGCTTGTTGATGAACACAGAGAAGTAAATAAGAATAAGATGTGACTAACAGGAAACCACATTACTACTCAGTTCTCTTGGACGAGCTGATTCTGAAGTGCAAAACTTGGAGAGGCACAGCAGTTTCCAAATTATGGAAATGAGAGCCTGCTATTTAACAATCTCACCCCAACTCTTATTAAGAAAAAAAATGGTGCTGCCTTGAAATCTAAGAAATAAGGTTTTGGATGTTCCCAGATGTCACCAAATGCAATTATTCCTCCAGAAGAAACTTCATAAAAAATATGAGCAACAGCCAATGATTCACTAGCCATGCAATCCCAGGAGATACTATTGCCTGTTCCCCCCCCAGAAGGAAACCCTCTACTCAGCATGGAGACTGCATAGAAGTCAATGTGTTATAATTTCATTATGATAAGGCCAACTTTTTCCTGGTCTGCATTTTCATGAGTACATGTAAATTGCAATGACTATAATAGTTTTTACCCTTATTTATTTATTTATCTACTTATATTATTGTTCATTTTAAAATAATGTTTAATTTCCCCCTTCGCTCACCTGTCACCACCATAGCACCCCACATTCCTCCCTTCTCCTGATCCCTCTCTGTCCCCCTCCCCTGTAGGACCTCTTTGGTTTATAATCACCTGTTTGTTTTTGTTTTGTTTTAATGTTAAATCTTAAGCACATTTTTATCTCAGTAGTTATCTAAGTAAGCAAACTATTAAATCCCATTTCTTTCTTTAGTCCTAAGGAGAACACTTTTTGACCTGAAGACCTCACCATCTTAGAGGGAGGCATTAGTTGTTTGGGGGGGAACAATGCATGGAACAAATTTTCCTTATCTGTATGTCCATTTTAATTCCTTCTTTCAAAAATACAGTTATAAAATCCAAATTTTGTTGTTGTTCTTATGTCTTTGCCTACAGGAAAGGTATCACCAACAAAAACTATGTGGGTTGTATCAAAAACCTGGAAATATCGAGATCGACCTTTGATTTACTCAGAAATTCCTACGGAGTGAGAAAAGGCTGTCAACTGGAGGTGGGAAGCATTGAGCTAGCATTGCAGTAAGTTCCTAACCGTGGGAGACTTGGCATGAGGAGTCCTAATATGCTCTGTCTTCTCCTTTGTGACCAGCCTATCAGAAGTGTTAGCTTCCTGAAAGGCGGCTATGTTGAATTGCCACCCAAGTCCTTGTCACCCGAATCAGAATTGTTGGTGACCTTTGCCACTGAGAACAGCAGTGGCATCATTCTGGCTGCCTTGAACCAACACAGAGAGAAGCAGGGCCACCGGCACCCCCATGTGGTGAGTATGTCAAAGCCATCAGGCCGGGACTCAGGAACCACGTGGCTGTGGGAAACACTGGCTGGAAAATGACTCAGTCACAGACATTTATTGTAGTTGTGCGCCCTGTTGTCTATGGGTCTGCATTTTTTATTATGTCAAAGTTATTGCTTTCTTTCCCATGTGAATTGGTGATGTCTTCATGCTACAAAATCTATCTTGTCTAGCTACTGAGAAGAAAGGTATTTGTTGTCTTCTTCTGTTTTAAAACTTACTAGGAGAGCATCTGCTGCATTTTCTTCCATGTGCTGTGGTTGTTACTTGTTATTCCAAGGTGAAAACAATAGTCCCTTAACTCTTACAGAGTCCTTTGGTACACTGCTCCATGAATCAGGATTTTCTTTAAGTATCACAGAACTGAAAGGAGCAGAAAGAAAAGTGTGACTTGTGACAAGCACAGTGTACCAATAGATGAAGTGAGAAAAGTTGGTTTTCCATATTTATATTCCATGTCAACAGTATAGGTGATCTTTATCCTGCCCTTTGTTTAAATTTGCATATATTGTGAAATTTGAGGAGACTTCAGAATGCTATTGTCTTAAATATTTAGAGGTCGTGCACCTACAATTAATTGAGTCCTGTTCTCTACTGTGCCTTGAGTCCTGTTTTCTACTGTGCCAGGTATTTTACAGACATTGCTGTGTAATTATCACAAGGTGAATGAATGCAACTGTTTACATTTTGTTAAAGAAGAAATGGGTTCAGAGAGCCTGGTAGACTTACCCAAGGTCTACAGCTATTATATATCAGAGCAGTCTGCAGACCCCTAGTACCTTAAGATGTTACTTGGAGAAGGTCTAGCAATGACAGAGTGTTTTTTTTTTAATTTAGGTAAAAGTCACATCACATAAAAATTTTAAAAATTTAAAAAATGACCAAGGCATTTAGAACGTAGTGTGCTTTATCTAGTTCCAACACATTTTCACTATCCCAAATAAAAACCGGTATCATTAAGCAACCATTCCCATTCCTCCTTCTCCCCACTCTGGCAGGCACTCACCCTCTCTCAGTATCTATGAATGTATTTACCTATGTGTCTGTTTCATAGAAATGGGCCCAAATGGCATGTGATCTTTTGTATTTTTCACACAGAATGTTTCCCAGATTCATCTACACAGTAGCATGTATCAGTACTTCTTTTCATTCCACACTGTTTATACATAGCATAATTTTTTTTCTTGAATTAACTGATGGACCTTTGATTGTGTCCACCTTTTGGCTATTGTGAATAATGCCGTGCATTTTCATGTACAATTATCTGTCTGAGCACCTCTATCTATTGGACCTATTCCTGGGAGTGGAATTCCTGGCTCATCTGGTAATCCTGTGATTCACTTTTCAAGGAACCACCAAACTATTTTCCTCTACCAAACTTAATAGGACTACTTATAAATCAGTTTTCCGCTAAGTCAGCTTAAAGGAGTGCTGGCCGCTAATGCCAGCAAGGGTGTCATGGCACACTCACACACACTGCTGGTGGGCCTCTTCTCAGAGGGACAAAAAGGTATTTAAA